TTACCTAAAGACTCCCATAACAGGGCACACATTCTTTTTCTTTTGTTGGTTGCTTTGATCAAGAACATAAAGAACTTTCAATATTTAAACAACTGGAAAACAAGGCATTTTAATCCTTGCATTGAAATGTTCTTTAATAAAAGCTTGGAGTAAAATCTGCTTGAAAACACACAAGCTAAAGAAATTTACAAGTATAGTGTCATGTTAAATGGCAGATATTTAGGTCTTTGACATTTGTATTCACACAATTAAGATGTTTCATAAAATTAAATTTCCTGAATAAATATATAGCTGTACAAAGTGTTTTGGGTAAATAATCTGGAACAAAAAAATTCAACAAAAGATTATATATCTTTAAGTCTGCACAGTTTCTAAAACATACATTACATGGATATATAGGTATATTTAATACTACAAATAGTATGTAATTACTATGTGACCATGCACTAAAATGGTGGTTTGGTCTATAGAACCTGACTGTGTTATCGACAGAATTGTGTTATAACCAAATAGGACTGATGAAGAAAATGATGCATGTAGCAAACAAATGGGGTGGGGGTAATAAAAGTGGGTGCAAAAATATGTGCTTTTAATTAAATAAGACAAACTAGTCTTAAATATATTTTTGTATATTGACAACTTACATTTGTGAAATACAATCCATAATCCATTAAGTACTGAATGTGTGTGTGAAAAATTCATGAATCTGACTATAGATCACATGTGAAAAATTCACAAATCTGTCACATTCCATTAATAAATATATTAAAATAATGGAAGTCCTTGTTTAATTCATATCCTATCCTTGACAAATATATGTCACTAAACATTTCAGTATGAATTTGTCATCAGTGGCATGTGACAATAGTTGTTTACATGTTACATATACATGTACTTAAACTGCCTAGATTTTGGTCAGCTGGAGACAGCTATCATCTTGCCAAGGCTACCCAGGGAATTAGATAATTCAAATGGAAAGCAAATTTTTAAGTAAATTATGTTTCTCTGAGAATACTTACCCAATAACATTATGTCAGGAATGTAAGCCTACAACTCTGCAAATCCAGCCCTACTAAAAGACAAAAATCATCTTACCCTGTCTATATTAATAGACAAAGGCAATAATTCTTGCCCATTACCTCCGCTTGACACTGAGAGGTGTCACTACCAAATTTTTAGCTTAGCAAGATACTAGCAAGGATGCTTACATGGTGGGATGGCTGTGAGAGTTTTCAAGTAAAGTGATTGCGTAAGTATTCTCAGAGACCAAAACTTACTTAAAAATTTGTTTTCACCTATGAATACATTCCACAATCACATTACATTAGGAGAATAATTAATAGGAGGATGGGATGCTGAACATACAACCTTATCTCAGGTATCCTTCTATGGAAGAATAGTTGATTACTGAAATCTTACCTACAAATGTTCACCAGCAAGTCCTGCAAAGTTAACAGAATATCTGGATTGATCTAGTTGGGTCTGGTGGCCATCTGTGCTGTGGCCACTTGACCTACCAGATTCAATGTTACTTCTCCAAAGCCAAATCTCTGAGATGGAGGCTTGAGAAGGCTGACACTTGTACCCTGCATGGAGAAGCTATCAGGAAATATGACTTGTACAATAGAGACTTTAGCGAAGAGCAGGCTAGAGGTTCAAATGGATTTGAATCTAGCCATGTTAAAACCCAATATTTGTTACATTTGGAGACAAAATGATGAATATTGGTCAATAGAGACCAAAATTGTCTTACAGATCTAATAGGTCTATTCCCACCCAAAAAAAAATCTACCATGATGCCAGAATGTATCCAATATTATGGGGTGGTACCCTTTGGGATTGGGGCTCAACTATTTCTGCTCAAAGAGCAATATAAAAAGTTGGCCAACTGAGGGACTGAGACACAGAGAGGAACAATGTTGTTGGTATAGCACCAGTCCACTAGTCACTTTCCCTCATAAGCTTCAGAGTAGAGGGTCTTAAGATGTTCTCCATAATCAAAGGTTTGAATTGTTAGTCTCCTAAGGATGCCATAGAAAAAGAGACTGGGCAGGGATTGTGGAGGGATTGTGCACAGATGCTGGCTTGAATCTTCCTAAGCATGTCTATAGCTAGAATGAATAGATCAATAACCCAGGACTTGTCTCATGTGAATGGGGCTATCAGAATCTTGACATCCTGAGCCAATAACTTCTGTATTATTTTCAAACTCAGCACTGTGGAAGGGGAGGCAAATGCATATAACTAATCCTAAATGCTTGTGATTCCACCTCATCTCCAAGAGGCTGATCATTGGATATCCCTGAGGTATCAACTCCAAGTGAAGATCAATTGATGGTGAAACCATTCCATATGAAGTACATCTGGACTGAGTCTCAGTCAAGACTCCAAGTCTGACAGTCTAATTTGTATCTTGATATTCATATCATTCCTTCCTTGGAGTAGGATAGAATTGACCATGTGTATCAGCAGGATGTAGTCCAGATGTGCCGCTATCATTGTAGAAGACAGAACAAGGAGTGATGCCATCCATAATTTGAGTAAAAGCCCAGGGCGTGATGTTGAGGCCAAAGGGAAGAACAGTGAACTGATAAACTGTTCTGAGGTAAGTTAAAAAACCAAGAAAATTCATGATAGGGAAAAATATGCATTGGACAGAGATGTAAAAAAACAAAGAAAATTCATGACAGGAAAAAATATGCATTGGACACATCAAGACTGATGGCATATTCATCCCATCAAATGCTAGTTCATCTTGAATCTGTTGATGTGATTCTTGTCAATGGTGGGTCTCAACTTGCTATTTGTTTTCTGAAACAGAAACAGCCTCAAGCAAAACTTTGGAGATTGTGGTTTTTGCACAAGCTCCATCACGTTTTTTCATATAAGCAACCATATCTCCTGCTCTAGAAGGGCATCTTTCTACAGATCTGATCTAATGATGTATTTGTGAAGAGAGGAGAGGAGAGAAGATGGGATTGCCTTTCTGAGTGATCTAGATCACCATCCCTCTCCATACTCACCACACCCAATTCTGAGGGAATAGGGACATACTGAAAAATCAGTTTCTTACTGCTTCAATATAACTGCTTCCAAGGGTTTGATGTTGATGTACAAGTGAATGAGAAGATCCTGAGTCCACTTAACACCTTGTCACACTAACAGGGACTGAGTGATTCCAAATGCCAGCTCGGGTTGACCATTGAAATGCTTTCTAAGGATTGATGTTGGTGTACAAGTGAATGTGGTGATCTTGAGTCCACTTTACATCCCGTCACACTAACACGTACTGAGTGATTCCAAATGCCAACTTAACAACTATCACACTAACGGGGACTGAGTGATTCCAAATGCCAACTAAACACCCAGTCACACTAACGGGAACTGAGTAATTCCAAAAGCTAGCTTGGGTTGAGCAGTGAGGTGCACCGAAGTCCAACTGGATGTAGTTGCATCCCTGGAGAAAGCACACCAGGTTGTATAAAGATTCAATTCCATCCCTATGAAAACATCTCTAGCCCTCCCATGTGGTCAAGCAGTGAACATATGGAAGTCAAACACAGCTGGCTGGTTTGCCCAGTGAATTGTCAACCTGGAAGCTGCTGGTATAGAAGACGGTCTGGCTATCAATGGTGCTCCACCACTCCAAAGGACGCGCTAAAATCATCAAAGAAAGGGCATGTTGCCAATGGTACACTTGGATGAACAGACCTGTCACTATGATCGCCCAGATGGCTGGACCATTATCATGAAAAGGTCCCCATTTTAGAATGGATGGATGGATGGTTGTTGTTGTTGTTGTAGGGTTTGACACTATTTTTCAGCACAAGATGGGTTATACATGGCGGCCCATATTAATGGTGGAGGAAGAACCCTGGAAAACCCTGGGAAGAACCACTGACCCACAAGAAGCTACTGGCAGGCTTTCTCACTTACCCAAATTAGCTGAATCTGAACTTGAACTCATGCAGACAGAGGTGAGATGGCAGTGATCTGTAACGGTCAGTGCTTTAGTCAGGGCCACCTGGATGGATGGGAACAGATTGGTTTTAATATACATCAGATCCAATAGATTATGTATGAACAGTGTGTGGTCCATCCAAATGCTGGCAGTGCTGGTTTAGCAATCACCAGTATTGTATCACATGAAAAGGCCTGGCTGAATGGACAGATTTCTCTTTAAAATCTCTAGTATAGTAATGATAAGATGCTGATGGAATGGCTAGATGGATGGATCTGTCTCTAAGATCCCTGTATGAACTATTTGATTAGACAATTTCAACAAAAAGGTGGGATGGCTGGACTGTCAGTGTCGGCTGGATGGTTGGTGATGTCTAGATGGCTGGCTTTATTAAGAGTTAGATCCAGCTGAGACTGTATGAATGCAGCATTTCAGGCACAAAGGCCATGCTCGGACAAGCCGGCGGACTTACACCTCACAGGCTTTTAAAATAATGTATTTAAAGAAGAAATGAATAGGCAGTACAGAAACATAGGCAGAAAAGACAACTGTGACTGCAGCATATCCTTTATTCATCAAGCAAATAGCATTTCCTAACCAGATATTAAAGAGTACAAAATAACCAGATAATCCACTCATGGGCTCACAGAAACCAAACCAGTTAGTGATGTCATGGCCATCTTTAAACTCAGAGGACAAACAACATGCAGTTCAGCACGTACCTTACTGTGTTTAAGCAGATCAATGTATGTGGTATTTGTGTTTAAGCAGCTTAGTGTATGTGATATGTGACAGTATGTGTGTGTATGATTAAGATTTTTAATGCAGCTTTAGCAGTTGTTCAGAACTTAGCGCTATGTCTGCTGTGTGACAGTTTATAGTGATGCTTAGCGCTAGGGCATCATGCCACAGACATGTAGCATGATGTCCCACCCAGTCACATTATCCTGATACCAGGCCAACCAGTCCTAACACTAACTTCTTAATGCTGAGCGCCAAGCGAGGCAGCTGTCAGTACCATTTTTAAAAGCCTTTGGTATGACTCAGCTGGGGTTTGAACCCACAACCTACCTCATCCGAGGCAGGTGCTCTACCACTAGGCCACCGTATGTGACAGTATGTTTATGCAGCTCATTGCATGTGGTATGTGACCACTTTATGTAATATATGTTATTGTGTTTATGATGCTCAGTTTATGCACTATCTGATGTGCCTTAATGCAGCTCATATGCAACTGTGTTCATGCAGATCAGTACTATGTATGTGGTATGTGTTTGTTTATTCAGCTCTTTGCATCTGGAACATAACATAACCGCTCTGGTGGCCTAGTGGTTAGAGTGTCCGCCTCGGATGCGGGAGGTTGTGGGTTCAATCCTCGGTCGAGTCATACCAAAGACTTACATAAATGGTACTAACAGCTTCCTTGCTTGGTGCTCAGCATTAAGAAGTTATTGTTAGGACTAGTCGGCCTGGTGTCAGGATAATGTGACTGGGTGGGACATCATGCTACATGTCTGCGACATGATGCCCCAGTGCTAGACATCACTATAAACTGCCACACTGCAGACATTGTAGCGATATGACTGAAAAATTGTTAAAGCTACGTTAAAAATCATAATCACATCACATCAATGTATGCTCAATCTGGTAAAACAAATAATGCAATTATGTTTTTACACAGGTCTTATAATTGTTATATGGCAGTATATTCAGTGGTCATTTATACAGGTCTTATAATTGTGTTTTATGACAGTATATTCACTGTTCATTTAATAAAATTTTTTTATGTGAATGGGTGTTAATACAAGTCTGTCAAAAGTTTGATGTGAATGGGTGTTAATACAAGTCTGTCAAAAGTTTGATGTGAATGGGTGTTTTATACAGATATGTCAATGTGTAATATCAGTCAATAAAAATGCTATTTGGTGTTTACACAAGTCTGACAACAATGTTTTGTGACAAGGAGTTTATACACACTTGATACTGATTCTGTGCAGATGAGGTTGAAATATTTACCTCCTAGAATATCCATTTGCAGCTGTGACAGGGTCTTGATACAGGCCTGGTACAAAGCACCAGGGAGACAGGTGGATGTAGCAATGGAGCTGCCCAATTTTATTTTTACACTGGAGTTCTTAGATGATGCCTTTTCCAAAGCTTTCCTTAAAATGTCTGAAAAAAAACAACAGGACATCCAAAAGTCTCTGCATGTTTACATTACTTATTAACATTCCAACAGTAAACACAGCAGTAATAAAAAAGTATAATCTATGCTAGCATGAAATGTATTTTATATTTCCAAATGTTATGAATCAACACAGGACATAAATGGTCACATGATACTGATCAGAAATTCTGTATACTTTGGTAAATTCTGAGGACTCCTTTTGGTTCCCAGTTTTGATGTAATTTTATGTGAAGCTTCATCTATATTAATGCCTTAAACAATATTAAAAAAACAAGCCCAATCCATCCACATATGTCATTTCTGACCAAAATTTGTTGTTGTTGTTTTTTTGTTGTTATAGGGTTTAATGCCAATTTTCAGCAAAAGATAGGTTATACATGGCGGCCAGTATAAATGGTGGGGGAAGAACGCTGGAAAACCCCCAAAAGAACTACCAATGCATGAGATGTTACTGGCAAGCTTTCTCACATACCCACAATGGCCATGTCTGACAGAGGTGAGATGGCAGTGATCTGTAATGGTGAATACTTTTTACCACTTGGCCACTCTGGGCCCCAACCAAAATTTGTAAACCTTTGAGTAAAACTGCCCATCTGAAGTTGAAATAATATAACTGCAGCCATTTCTGCATTGCAACACTTATGCCTTTTGAAAAAGAAAGCATGTGGCAGGCTTTACAAACCAATCTTCAGAATTTATTGCAGTTTGCTTTGACAGTATGTTCCACCAGCTGTTATGAAAGGTCACGGTCATATCACAAGCAAGGAATGTCACTAAAAATGGATACAATTTTCTTTTGGAAAAGGGTAAATGTGTAGAAAGCAAGAACAATCAATGCTATATACAACATATGCCAAGTGCAAGCATAATTAAGATAAAAAAAATGGAATAGCCTGGCTTAAAGAGCATCAACCAATTCTTTTAAATTAAAAAATTATCATCACAAGCATCTTAGATCAATGGCTTGACATGCTCTGGCATTCTACTCAATACTAGCATATATAGAATTGACATATTATTTTGCAGTGGACAGGCTAATACAATAAAACTTAGGACCACCTAAAAGTGAAAATTTAATGAAATCTGCTGTTATGATGATAGAAAAGTAAATAGGATTTTTAAGGATTAAAAAATCATGGTTGGGTTCATGTTTCCATATCAGCTGAGGACTCAAATTTTACTACTATAATTATAGTGAAAATAATCAAAACAAAGCAGACGTAGGTTGTTTTCAGTCTTTTTTTCTATATAAAGTTTCAATAAAACAAGCACTTTAACTAAGATTTGCAGAAGATTTCATACATTTGACTAAAAGCCTAAACTGTGCTGGAGATTTTAACAGCAATTTGAACTCATACTATTTATCTCAAAACAGGTCAGAAAGACAGAACAACGTTGCAGCGAACAACAGCAAACAATTTTTAGATAGAATTTTGCCTTTACTTTATAAATGCAAACAAATTCTCACCTTACATTTTATTGTACTTGGGTAATACTTCAATAGGCTTCTGTTTCTCAACAGCAAAACTGGGCTGATATTATTGACAATCATTTCCATACAAGTGGCTATTTTGTACTGTTTGTTGTGTGATGTGTGGAGAAAATGAATGAGTTGTGTGCTTAGAGTGTGAGAGAATCATGTTGTATATGTTATTGAGACTGCACATATATTTATTAAGCCATTTCATAAAACTTGCATTTTAAATCAAATTTAATCCAGACATCCATTCAGGTCAAATAATGTTACAGGCACATAAGTATGCCAAGATAAATGGGCAAACAAGCATGCCACAGAATGATGGACACACTGCCTTATATCAATGGGCACACAAGCATGCCACAGAATGAATGGACATACTGCCTTATATCAATGGGCACACAAGCATGCCCTAGATTGAATGGACACACTGCCTTATATCAATGGGCACACAAGCATGCCACAGAATGAATGGACACACTGCCTTATATCAATGGGCACACAAGCATGCCCTAGATTGAATGGACACACTGTCTTATATCAATGGGCACACAAGCATGCCACAGAATGAATGGACACACTGCCTTATATCAATGGGCACACAAGCATGCCCTGGATTGAATGGATACACTGCCTTATATCAATGGGCACACAAGCATGCCACAGAATGAATGGACACACTGCCTTATATCAATGGGCACACAAGCATGCCCTAGATTGAATGGACACACTGCCTTATATCAATGGGCACACAAGCATGCCACAGAATGATGGACACACTGCCTTATATCAATGGGCACACAAGCATGCCACAGAATGAATGATCACACTGCCTTATATCAATGGGCAAACAAACATGCCGTAGAATGAATGGACACACTGCCTTATATCAAAGGGCAAACAAGCATGCCACAGAATGAATGGACACACTGCCTTATATCAATGGGCACACAAGCATGCCACAGAATGAATGGACACACTGCCTTATATCAATGGGCACACAAGCATGATGTAGAATGAATAGACACAGTGCCTTATATCAATGGGCACACAAGCATGCCACAGAATGAATGGTCACACTGCCTTATATCAATGGGCACACAAGCATGCCACAGAATGAATGGTCTGAGCTTTATTATGATTCATGCCATGGATGATGAAACTCTAGAAAATTGTTTACAAAATACATTGTAAATTAAGGATTTATGAAAAACCTAAACTAAAAAGAAACTGATGATAATGATGCCACTGGCAAACAAAAAGTTTGGTTTGTTTTAAGATTAATGTAAACATTCCATTAAGGGATTTTTCATGGATCTAATGTCATGAAAACACAGCAATTGTCTTCAAGTCAAGAACTACCAACTGTCTGGAAACTAAATTAGCATGTTTACTTTAGGCTAAAACAAAACAAATCTGATCTGTAAAAATACAAAGAGAGCAATCTACTGTGTTAACTAGATATTGTGTGCATAACTTTTGTCCATGATTGTAAATTGTACCTTAAGACAATGCAAAAATATTGACATGGCCTTTTGAACTGATAAGGTTCTATCAAGCGTACCTGCATTTTGTCTTGTTTGTAAATTTAAATAGGTTGTTTAATGATATTTAATGATATTCAAAATTTAGCCTTGCTAATAAAATTTAGAATGTTCTGGAAGTGAGCTTTTTATCATTTTATTATGTATTAGTTCTTTATATATCATGCATATAAACATAATTATTTCATTACTACTTTAAGTTCAGTTGTGTTCAGATATAAATTGAGTGGAAATATTGATTTAAATTATTTTTTGGAAAAAGCTCATTGACATTTTGGACTAAACCATCACTTTGGAATTATTCTGAATTCATTCAAAGATATTCTGGATTTATATCATTGTGATAAAGCAAGACTAATGGTACATTAGCATACTCATGGCTATTGGTGCAATAGTACATTCAAGATTGGAATTCATTTGGAATACTCTAAACTTCTGGACTTGTGATAGCTCTTTTAGGATTATTTGGGATCATTTCACAATACTGTAAGTTCCTCTTTAATTTTCATGTTATATCTTAGAGAAATAAATTATTTGTTGAATTTTACTAAACTCATTCCAATTACTTTGTGTTATTTAGTTCAAGACCATAGAATTCTAACAATTCTAGGAGCAGTAGTCTGCAAATATGTTCAATCCACAACTAGATAGAGCACACTATAATATTCTGATATAACATATCACTCATTTCATAACTCAGTGCCAAAGGAATCAATTATAATGAATTCTCATCAATAATGCTTCAATTGTTGTGTATCTACCCCAGTATACTCACTCTTGGATGGTGAAGCCTTTTGTTTTTCTTGAGATTCGCGCAACACACTGACATACTCAATCAACTCAGAGAACAGAAGCCGAATCATCTTCTCCCCCCACAATAACTGGAGCTGTTTCACA